GCAGCTGAACATGAACATGAAAATGAAAAAAAAAAGAGGGGCAAAGAAAAAGTGGAAAATCATGGCTCAGCGGCGAGCAACAACAACTTTCACCCGGCCAAGGAGAGCGAGATGGGGCAGAAAGAAAGTGAGACAACAACTTTATTGCTTTTATAGAAGCTCAAAGTGAAGAAGAAAGTTAAGAAGCAGAATTCCCATTTGAGTCTGTGTCTGTGTCTGTGTCTGTGTCCGTGTCGTAACTGAGTTTGTGTTAGTGCATGGCTGAAAACTCGTTTGGGGAGTAGAAGAAAGTTGCTTCGGCCGCTTTAAGAATGCTGCACTAATTGGACGGTGGCGAGAAAGAGATGGCAACTGACCAGGGCTGGCCAGTGTGTTAGTTGGTCGGCATTCAAACCTTTGATTGAGGAAGATGTATCTCTTACAACACTTTTCTGCCCCAAGGGTATCTCTATCCCTTGGCGTCTTTCTCTTTGCTATTGCCTAATGCCAAGTATTCTTGGAATATTTGGTTATTTCTCGCCTGCTTTTTGTTTGTTGTTTTCATTTATTTATGATCGCCCTGTCTCTCTCTCTCTCTTTCTTTCTTTTCACTTTTTATTTCTCTGCGGCTAATCGAGAATAGAAACAGACACTCACACTCGTTTTGGGCGTGTGTGTATTTTTTATACACAAATATTTCACAATCTTTTTTCGCTTTTTATTTGGACAACATTTGTGCATACACACTACTGACATAGTTCGGCCTTTTCTCTAATAATTGTCTATAATATTTTTAAACGCACAGTGGGGCAGAGCAGGGTTGCAATAGATGAATTTTAATATTTTGCAGTCGAGCTTTTTAAGTTTTTAACTAACTACTACCCATTAAAAAAAAAATCGACACCCAGAAATCGTCAAATAAGTCTATTGAATGAAAATAATGTAAATATAAAACTTAAAGCTTAAACTTTAAAAATCTTGGGCAATGTATTAATATCAATTTAACAAAAAATGTATTCATTAATGTCTTATTAAAACATTAACTTTTTGTTTCTCCAGCTTGATCTCGATCTTTTTCTTGCTCTTTCTTAGCTTTTTGAGTTGTGAACTGTTGCAGCTGCATTTGATTGTAGCTCACTTCAATCGAATTTTAAATAGTTCGCACCAACACACTCGGGCAGATGTGCTTGTATATGAAACATTTCTAGTAGCGTCGACTTGCTTTTAGTCACAGCTGCAGGCCGGTTGTGTCATTAACCTATAAAAACGTGTTCGCCTAGAGTGGCAGTGCAAGTGAGAGAAGAGTCGGAGTGAGTGAGAGAGGAAGTGGGAAAGATAACTAACAGTTGTCCATTGCTATATTGCAGTTGAGCGCCGCTCCCCTCTTTCTTTATTTAATTTCAAATTAATGCCAAGTCTACGAAAATAGCCAACAAGAATGCAGCACACATATGCACATCTATATGCAAATGCCGAATCACGACGTCACATTCGGTTGTGAGTAACTGGCAAAACGGCAAGTTGAATTTATAAATCTGTAGCACATGATATGAATCACGTCGAAAAATTTAGCGAAAAGAGAGCAATAACATTCCCATATTAAATATATAATCAAGATCTCTAGCTCGATGCATTATCTGATTCTTGGGTATTTCGGTAGCTAAGAAGCAAAATAATGTTAAAAAAAATGTTGATATTTGAATTGGATGTTTTAATTGTTCCAATGTTTAATTGTAATAGTTCGGTTGCAACGATAACAAGCACGTCCCTTACAATATTTTAACTGTCCTCAAATTACTTGTAATAAATAAATAATAAATAAATAAGTAGAGAAAACCTTTATAATTGTTTAAGTTATGGGTATAATAATAATTTGTGTTTGCTTTTTTCAAAATTTAAAGGATATAGGATATTTGTATAAAGTCTTTCAAAGTTAACGTTTATAGATCAAACCAAACCAGATTCAGTTAGTTCTTAAGAATTTTTGGAGCAGTAATTTATAAGTGTTATGGATGACGATTAATCGATATGCCCCCGACTCCGATATCTTAATGTCTTAATGACAGTTTTGCAAAAATATAAATAAACACGACTAGAAGTCAAAGTCAAGCGACTGTCAGAGGGACTTATCAATGTCAGTCGGCATTCTCGCACTGCAACTACAAACAAACAAAATAAATAGCCAGCCGCAACAACAACAATAACATCGAACAACTCGTTTACAGCAACTGTGGACACAATGTATCCGACTGGGGAAAGAGGGGGGTTGTGGGTGGTGGTTGGTCGCAGGCGAGTTGAGAGCGAAAACAATTGCAATTGAAAAAGAGAGAGAAAAAGAGAGCCGCTAATTAGTGGGGGCTCGGGTTCTTGGCGCTTCGCTTCGCTGGCACACGAAGTGCTTCGTGTTCGGTTCGCATGATCGCGATTGTCGATTGCTGACAGCAGCAGCAGCAGCAGCAGCAGCAGCAACAACAATAACATCGAAAACAGCAACTACGACAACAACAACATCGAAAACAACAAAAACGGCAACAACAACAACACTACTGTGAAATGGCGGCACAAAATCATTGACCTCAATTTTTTCGTCATGCGAACACAGACACACACACACTTCAATATCTGAGTACTCGCGGGTAATTGCATCGGTGTGAGCGCGAGTGCAAGTTGAAATAAAAAGCTGAAAAATACATATATAAATAGGAAAAACTTGTCAACTGGCGTTATCGTTTGCAAGTACGGGTATTTTATTTAAATTGTATGCCATTGTATAACTGCTATTCAACTTCATTTGCGGCTGTCCTTGAGCATCGGGATTCGCTTTGAGCAAATTATGTCATAGAAAAGTACGAATATCGAACAACCCCAGAGAGTTTGACAAAAGAAATGCAAATAAGCTAGCCGGAATGGAAGCAAAATGAAATGAAATGAAATAAAATGAGATGAGATGAAACGAGCAGCAGTTGTGCAAAGGCACGCACACACGATTTGTTGTTGCTGCTGCAACAACACCTCTTTTTCAGGGGGTAAGGTCATGTACTTGAGCTTTTGCTCCGTTAAGCACGTACGCCAGAACGGGATAGCAGGCTGTGCGAGAGAAACAGAGCTAACAGTCAATGTCCTTGAGGATTGTTTGGTTTTTGTCGGGTCTGGCCCAGTTGCAAATGCAGTTGTGACCCAGTTTGGAATTTTTGGGTGAATCGAGCTAAATCCGGTGCAGTAATAAAAAGGGTCAATGAAAACGTAATGTTGGCAATTGGAAATCTTTTTAATCACTAAGCGATAAAGATGAATCCTAAACCAAATAAAAGCTCGAAACATACATATGTACTTACAAATGTATATCCAGTTATTTTTAATGCTTCCATATAAAATAAAAAAAAATTAAGTCAGCTGAGAAGTGTTTTGCTAAAAATGCAACACTGCTTTGCTTTGTGATATGATCAAACAGTAAGAAAACATCACTTTAGGATATTTGCATTTGCCACAATTGAAATGTGGGACAGTCTCTTATCTTGTTTGCATAGTAATTTTTGTTTCAGAAAAACAACATTGTTTAAATCGAACTCAAACGAACAGCATTGCAGGAATGCAAATTCAAGAAAATTTATTTCAGAAATTAATAGATATTATTGGGCTTACATTTGAGAGTAACTTTGAAGTGCATTGTTTAAATTGAAATTGGTTTTTAGGAAATATGTGAAACTAACCAAATAATAAAAAACAACCATACTGAGCGTCATATGGACTTATACCATAAAAACTGCATTGCATACAACTGTCGTAACCCAGACTGGCCTTGACCTGCCCGACTCAGAAGTAGACCCAGTCCGGCAAAGAGACAAACACAAACCCATGACCCAGACGCCAACTAAGACGCATCGATTGCAGATACTGGCCTTGAACTCCCGCCCACATCCTCATACGATTTAGGTCAAATGCAAATGCCGTCCTGCTGCCACTGTCTCTGTTGCTGTTTCTGCTCCTGACCTGACCTGGTTTCCCCCATTTGGCACGAGGTCAGTGCCACAACAACGAGCGAGGGCGCGCACGAATCGCCCGAGGTGACGTCATAACAGCCCTGCTCAACAATTGCAGTTGCAACGAGCAAGCAGGAAGCAAAGAGTCGAGGAGCCGAAGAGCCCAACAAGCAGAATTCCTTCAGTTTCCCCTTTTCGGCTGCTCGCAGCGGGGCGGCCCTAAATATAGAACGACTTGAGGTAGGTTCGGGCTCGAAGGCAAGCGTTGCATCAGAAAGGCCACCAAACCGCCCTTATGGCTGCACATGGCCCGGGGAGCGTCTACATGACATGCACTCTTCCATGACGCTGCTGATAATGTCGAACAACAACAACAATGCTGGCTGAATGCTGGCTGTGTGCGTGTTGATTGCACTTTCCAGCGAACGCGCTCTGAAGATCCAGGGGAACCAAAGGAAAAAAAAACCATAAAAAGTGCTTCATAAAAGACGCTCGTCCAATAAAATATAATTAGTAAGCCGTGCACTCGGAATACAGAGAATGGGCATTGCTGACTACAAATGAAAAGGGAGAATGACGGTAGACTAAAGGTAAAGGCAGGGTAAGCTTTAAAAGTAAACCCAAATACTTAACATTATCGTTATATTTTTTCCCAATTATCTGCACTTTTGCAACGTGTTTTTGCTATTAGTTTTTTATTTAAATTATTTACTTGTTAAGAGAAAGCGTATTTAGCGGTGTATTATAGTTAGTAGTATTCAAAAGAAAGCGTTTTTGACTCTATCTGAATATGTATAGGGATGTTTATGTAAATAAAGTTTTAAAAAAAGCGGAATACAACATTAACAATTTTAATTTTAGAACTGGTTAAAGCCTGTCTGTAATACAAAACAATGAGTTTTACCCTCTGAATTTTTGGATAAGTTAAGGCACACTTGTTGATTTCGTCAAAACTGCATGTGCATATTTTACTTTACTTGTTGAATATTATCTCTGATCAACTAATGGTAAAACGATCTCTGAAAGGTCTATAGGTCTTACCTGATGAAATGGAATTCGCTGAGTCGCTTCGCGGCGTGTGCTGCATTCCCAGGCCACCCACTCCGACTCCGCCCACTCCGACACCACCTCCTCCGCCGCCTACGACTCCTATAATGCCATTGCCATTCGTGTGGTGGAGCAGACCCATTCCTCCGATACCGCCACCACCACCCAGCCCATTCTGCTGCAGGTGAAGCTGCTGGTTGCTGGGCGTCGTCGGGGTGGTGGAGTTGATGAGGTTGTGGCCATTCTGCATCTGCTGCTGCTGCATCCCGTTGTGCCCTCCATTGAGCATCCCGTGGCCATTGGCTAACGCACCCAGATTGGTGGCACCCGGCACATAGTGGCCATTGGCGGAGCCTCCATTCCCGTTGCCGTTGATCGGGATGATGGTCGTCTGGGCGGGCAAAGTGCTGGAGCAATTGTGCATGGCCAGCGTGATGACGCTCTGCTGCTGCTGCTGATTCAGGCCGTTGCCGTTGGGGGTGTTGTACGAGGCTGACTCGGGGCCGCAGAGCCAGAGATCTTGGTCGCAGTAGTCGTGCGAGTCCAGCGACGAGGGCGACATGTTCACGCCCGAGGGCAGGACGAGCCCGTTCGAGGAGGAGGTGACCTCCGAGGACGACTCCTCCGGAAGGCGCATGAAGCCGCCGTTGTTCGACCAGCGCCGCTTCATCCTCTGGTAGCCGATGGTCGCCGTTTTGCTGCCGTTTCTCAGATCACTTCACGTCGGCTGGGGACAAGGGGCTTGTCCCTGGCAGTTGTTCGATATTTACGGAGAAGTACTTTCTCCTGGTAAGATCCTTTTGTTGCTGTGCGAAGCTCGGCCTGTGTTGTCCGAGGTTCTGCTGCTTACTTGTGGTGGTGTTTTTTTTTTTTTTTTTTTTTTTTTTTTGTGTTTGATGGCTGCTCTAGTATTTTTTGCGCACTTGCTTGCGTTCAAAATACATTTTCGCCCGAATTCCTGCTCATTCAGTACGCGGAACAATCAGAGCTGCAATAAAGAGCGGGTACAACCCATAAAGATGACTCAAAAGTGTCCCAGAAAAACCCGTTCTAAGCTCGATTGTTGCTTCAACATTTTGTGGTCACACTGGAAAACGACGAGACGGTTCAACGCACCTGGGCGGGGGCAAGCTCATGAAATTTTCATTTCATTTAATTGCAAATTTGCGCTCTACCTTGAACACGACGCTGGGCTAAAGCTAAGCCAGCCCCCGGAGAGTGAGTGAAGTGAGCTAACCCAGGCGAAAGGAATACGTAATTCTTGAATAGATCAACCCCAGGCCGGCCCGACACATGTGGCGTATCTTGCGGGGAAATCTTCAGCTCGTTTAGCGGGAACTCTTCTGCAGAGATTGCAAACATTTGATAGGCCAACTCCAACTGAATTTATGGTCATATGTATATGAGTTGAACTGACAGCAGAATAGATTACTTCACTTTTCGCAACAATTAATCTGATTTTTTTTTTCTCACTTCTAGTACGATTTATGGTCTTTGCGAATCTTGGACACATAATTGTCGCCAAAATTGATGGTCTATCTGTGCCGTGTTCTCAAATTTCTACTGAATTTAGATCTGTCATGTTTATTTAGTCCAAGTCTATCTATCATTTAAAATAGAGTTTTTACTTCCTCATCCTAACCAATCAATATTAGTTCCCTATTTGCACACATTTTTCATGTGTGTTACTCTGTTTGAACACTTGTCATACTTATCTAAGCGTCTTGACAGCCGTTTCTGTTTACCATCTCCATCCTCAATGTCCGATGTGTGTTTGTAGCTCAAACAAAGTAGGAAACGCAAACAAAAACAGTTGGCGGGGAAATCGGCGGAATCTAGGCAGCTGAGGAAATTTCCCACCCTTCTATGCGATTCTCAATCACTTTACTTGTGTAGTTCTTTAAAAGCGTCCACTGCAATAAAAAGTTTTCCACCTCTCTTGTCTCCCTTGAAGTCAGTAACGCGGCAGTTATAAAGGGTTTATAAAAACAAAAATCAATGGTATTAGGATTTCCATTTCGGTAAAACATATTGTAATAAAGTCCAACAATTACAATTTAATTATTCCCAATTGCCATTGTTAAATGGGTTAACTATTTATTGACTGAACAATCTCTTCATCACCGCCATCATATAGTAACATTCGTCCCATTTGGAAAGCGGGCAATTGCTGGCACTTAATTAGTGAAAGTCAATCGATAAGCAAGACAATTGGCATAAATAAATATTTAATGCCACCGGCATATACTACATTGGCAATTGTTAAGCAATTAGTCATGGTCAGGTCAGTGAGAGATGGGCATTATTCGAAATCTTAAACACAAGAATCGTTCGAATTTCGATTGATTTTGCAATGCAGGGCGAACAGCGCGTTTGGATAGCCGCTTGACTCATTCCGCGACTTACAGGTGAATCATTATTTTGTGTACTGGATATCGACAGTTTCAAGCTGAGCGTCTCCACCCCCCCCGAACTCCCCCTCCCGATCTTCTTTTATGGGCTAACCACCATTAAGAGACCGGCACAATTAATAACGAGAGGGAAAGAGCCAAACGATAATAAAGCAAAAGTCTGTAACTTTTCGTCTCTTTGTGTTATAAAGCACCAAAAACTGGTTTCATGCCAACTCTGGTTGCCTTGGAGAGAGCGAGACCGAGCGAAAGCTTAGAACAAAATCGAAAAGAATCACGATCATACTCAAGAAGAAGAAGTAGAAGTAGAAGAATCGCTAAGAAACAGCCAGCAGAAAAAGAAAAGGGAAGACTAGTCTAAGCTTGAGTGGCGGGGGGGGTTTTAGGGGGAGGGTGGGGCATGGGCACTGAGCCGAGATTTGATTTTGGCCCGCATTAAGGAAAAAACCTGTCGCCCTCGCTGCCAACGTCGCTGCCGACTGAATTCGTCGAACAGCAACACAAAAACAATACAAACAGGTTGTTCTTTGGCGTTTTTGCTTTGTTGTCTACAAAAATATTTCTGAAAACATCAGAAGAAGCAGCGAACGGAGCGCGTATTTATCGCATCGGGAATATACTATACACACATTATATATATATATATATATACGGGGTGTATATGAGCGAGATGCGCTGAGATATATACGTATAAACGACATTTATGGCATTTTTGTTGTCTTGTTGTTTGCTGTTGATGTTCTCTGTTGCGTTGCTTTTTTTATTATTTTGCTCATTTTACTTTTTTCTGCGGTTTTCCCAGTTTTTGTTCTGCTTCTGGGGCTTGGTCTGGAGTACAAAAGGCGTTAAAAAAGAGTCGGAAAGCTAAACGCGCAGAATCAGATACCTTTACCTTTCTCCTGCTCCCCTCACTCACCCTTTCCCTCTACTATTCGCCTGAGCGCTAGAAGGGGTAAAAATAAGAACAAAACAAAACGGAAAATTCTTCTGCCAGCTGAAAAATTTGTTACGCCTTGAGTGATGGATGAATAGCGGAGGATGAGGGGTGCTATGAAGGGAAAGGTAGCATACACCTCTATTTTTAGCATCGTAGAATACATAATGGGAATTTGAACAGTCAACAGGTTGGGAGTTCTAAAGCTTACTTCCCTTCACGTTCAATTAGATGCCATGAGAGTTTTTGAGTCTAAAAACAAGGTCTGATAATATCTGAATTGGATCTACGGTCAATTAACTCAAAACAATCGTCATTAAAGGTTAAAAATGTACTTATCTCAGTGAAATCAATACAAGTTTAAAGAAAAATATTTCCAAAGAATGTTAAATGTACAAATTTATGGCAGATATTATTTGAAAACGCACTCGATCTAATATTTTGATTGAAATCTATTTACCATATGTTCATGCGCAAATTGATTCGAACAGTATAGGACTGCCATCGATTGTAGCTTTAACCCAAGTTGACCCCAAAAGCTTGGCTGACCCTTAAATGTTAGAGGGATTTCCTGCTGGAACGTTTCCACTCGTACAAAAGTATGTCAATGACTGGCACGCGACCAGCGATTGTCAGGAGTCCGCGCCTTTTCCCATACCCTTTCCATATCCTTTCCCTACCCACAGACTGCCCCAAAACAATGTTCTCCAATGCAATAAAGTTTATGAACATTGCGACAGTGCCAACAATTGTTGTACACGCTACTGAAATCGGTGGGTGGTGGACATTTAAGCCTCCTACTCTTGTAGAGCGAAAACAATTAAACATCCGCCATCGGCTTGTCCAGTAGGAATAATAGGCCCACAAACACAAATCCCCATCAGGGCACTCTCACACACAAAAACAAGTACGAACACTCCTGTGAGCGGATCCTTTTCATTTCCTGCTGTTATTTTCCTGCACGTAGAGCCAGCGCCGCGTGATTTCCATTTGCTGCGGATTCCAAATGGAAAAGGGAGTAATAACATGTGGGCGGTTGAAGCAACATATGCGACACATTCCCATAAACCCCTACCAAGAAAGAAAAGAAAACCAAATGATAATGGGCCTGAGGTCACCCAAAAGGCTTCAACTAATGTTCTGTGAAAGAAAAATAGCGAAACTGCCTAAGAGGAGCAAAAAGAAAGCCAGTTGTAGAGAAAAACCGCGTTCCCTAATGATGGTCATCATCGAAGACTATGTCTTCCAGCTCGCATCTAACTTAACATTTTACTTTAAACCCCGCAACAATCCGGATCAGTAATAATGCAATGGTGTATGTCGTTATATATTAATATATTAATTAAAACGGTCTAAAGATCATTTGGTTATATAAAATTATAACTTGTTTGGGCTTTTAAATATCAAATTTTCAAAGCTGGTAAAAGTCAATAGAACTAAATTAAAATAAGCAAATTGATTATAAATAAGTTAAAAGTCTCTCAGGGCAAAAATTTTTAAGAAACCACCCTACCAACACATAACTCTGGCGTTGACCTTCTTTCTTTTCTCTCAGTTGCTTTTTTCTTTCCTGTCATTTCTGATTGAGATTGAGGTCCGAGCAAACAAATCAGACTCAAGAGTGGCCAAAATAAAACTTTACATATGTGCGAATACGTGATAAATTCGCACATGTGTACATATATATGGTAAGCCGCTGACAACTTAACGGTTGTTCCTCTCCAATATCTACCTATCTCTGTCTCCCACTACCAATAACAACAAAATTTAACCAAAAACAGGTTGAGCTTTACTTTCCGCGAATTCAGTTCGCTGTGTTTTTTACGGTTGACTTTATTAAGTTGGTAGTTTTCTTTTGAAGTTTGCTGATTTGGATAAACATGAAAAATGGTGCCATTCAATTGACACACATCCAATACTTGGCTTAAGACAAAACCAAAATGAAAAAAAGGTGGAGTTTGGATCAATCGGTGCAAGTGAATCATAAAAAAAACTTTTTCTTCACTATAACTTCGCAATAAACTTCGTTAAATATCTCAAAAATCATTATCCACTTTTCATAAGCCGGCTATGACACGGAACCCACATTTCCCAAAAAGCTTTTCCAACTTTTTCCATCGGTATCCTTTCAGCTGCTCTCATTCCCAGGAATATATATTCCACATGGCGGATCCTCCAGTGTTTCCCAAGAATAATGCTCTATTCCACTCTATCGGCCACTGTCTTTTCACACAAAATCAATTAGCAATAAAAGCAAATCAAAAAAAAAGACAGAAACTTTTTAATGCCTTGGGCCGAAAGAGATTTATAGCATTTGGCAATGGCCCGTTTTCGGCTTTTTCGGAGCACTTAAGCCGCAAATATGTGCCAGGGCACGCGTTTCAATTAATAGCCTAGCAAATTAATAAATAAAAGACTGCAAGCGATAATTTAGAACTTAGGGTATTTTAGAAAATCATATCAGTACAACAGCCTTGAAGCATCAAACAGCTATCAATAAATATAAGAATATATATGTATTACGAGACAAGAGGAAAAAACCCCAAGCGAAGCGTCACCGTTCGCCCAATGTTTAGGACAACTGGTTGAGGTTGATTGGCCCGGCTCAAAAAATGCGCTTTAATCATTTCCTTTTCCGGTTAAGCGGCGTCTCTCTCTTTCCATTCTGCGCCGTCTACGATTTGCATTTATAATCGATAATACAATTTGCATATGTGGATCTGACTGATTGCCTGACCTTTTCGGCTGAGAAGAAGACTTTAATGTGTCTTCTTTTCGGCAGAATGACAAAGTAGCATGGCAAACAAATGTCCAAAGACAACATCATAAGAAAGCATGCGAAAACTTCCCTATCCACCATAATAATCGACCTTGATCACTCATTGTTTTTACAAAAAGAAATGTATTTGCTTGGCAGAGATTTGACCAACGACTATTTTCGAGAAAATCTGCCCAAAAGACATAACATTAAAAGGGCATTTGCTGTCAATTTTTGACATTAGTCATACATTTTAGTATTTATTTGGAAAAAAGTCTGTGCCGAGGTTATTACCATAAAAGTCTGACGACGCCACACACCTCTTGCCCACTAAAAAAAAAAAACACTGAGTCAAGTTGAACAAAGCATTTCAAGTTTTACGCTTGAGTATGAATTACAAATATCTTTGCGTTGCTCGGCTAATCAACAACAACAATAAAATTGTAGCATCTACTAGGAAAATAGTGGAAAGTCATGGAAAATCTTCGACATCGTCATCGTCTTCCACAATAGTCTGCGAAAGTGTTGACAGCTTGACTTTGTGGCCGGCCTGTGAAAGTACACAAAAGCGGTGAAAACTCGTTCCAAGCTCAACTGCTATATGGCAGGCTACTACTAATTGCACATGCACATACGGAACGGAGTGGGGTGAGTAGGGGGTTTTGGTCTCGAGCGGTCAGGAAAGCCATCCAGAAGAAGAGTGACAAGATAAGGCACTCAAAGCAATTGCCACAAGAGCGCTTACAATGGCACCTGTTTGCCATTCCCATTCCCCGGGGAAAACTGCCGTCTGGGGGTTGGGAAAACGAGGGTGGTGCACTGTCTCCTGACCCACTGGTCTGCACCCATCGATTCGGTCGGCCCCCAGCCGAGGTTACATTGAACCTTGTTGAATGGCAGTTTTACGTGGTTGCATGTTACACTTGGAAAATAGTTATAATGTGCAATGAATAGTGTGATAAGGGATGGTTGATGTTTTTTAATTGTATGAAATTAGCTAGAGACATTCTAATTTGTGAGGTTTTAATTTCAATTGTTGTAAATATATAGCATTTCTATATAGGATTGGCAGATAAAGAAAAATAAAACATATGTATACCTTCTTCTAAAGTTATCATTCTTAATATAAGTTTTTAACTCTAAAAAGTCACCAAAAAGGGACATAAACAACTTCCGAGTGCCATATAATGATATAAATTCGGCCATTAAGCACAGAACCTCGAAATGTGAGTGCAACGAGGAGGAGCCAGACGAAAAACATTGGAATCTCGGAATACTCAACGTGGTGGCCGGCATGGGTCGCAAAACATTCGGCCCCCTTGTATAGACATACATGTGTCTATATATTTGCATAAAATCGCATTAAAATTTGCCATTTTGCCAACTTTAATGTACCATAAAACACAAACAACAGCGGCGAAGACGATGACGATGACGATGTAGACGCCATAGGAAACAAGTAACTTTTTTGTGTTGTTTGCTTAGTGTCCAGAAAGTGTAGCAAAGGAGAAATAGCGAATAATTTAATGTGCAAAAAGTAGCGAAAGGGACGCGAGGAACGAGAACAAAAAAAATGAAAGAGCCAAGTCGAAACTTTAACCAGTCCCGCCCAGGAAACGAGGGTCAACGGGTGGCGGGGAGGTAGAGGCGACGGGGGGGCAGAGTCAAATTAATTGTGGGAGAGTCTAACTAATGTCGTGGACTTTGCTTTAGAGCTGGAGCCAGAACCCAAGCCACGCTGTTACCTAATGCCTCATTAGGCGCCTAAAATAGGGCAACAAAAACTTAAGAACCTAACGCATCGAAGGACTCGCTTTATATTAATTAAATATGTTTTGTCCCAAATTAAATAAGGAACCCTACAGTGTAATAAAACCTATCAAGCACAAACTGAACAACTACTTTCAAGTAAGATCTTGATCCTCGATTTATGTAATTAATAATGTTAACCAAATTAATAAATTGTAAATGAAAACTTAATTTGGTCAATTACCAAAAAGAAAATCGTTGATTTAAAAAGAGAAAAATTCCTATGAATATCTCAGGATTTAATTCAATAAAAAAAAAAAGAAAACAAGTTACCTTTAAAAGACTAGTATTAAAGCAGGAAATCAAAATCAAAAATCAACCAGGAATGGCAATACATCAAAAGAATGGAAAAAAGAGTGATATCAAAAAAGTCAATACATTTTTCGATTCCCAGTTGCACTTGTAAAACTCCATTCAATTGATAATATTTTATCGAAATGTTCTCAACCCAACTTCCGTCATTTAACGAATCAAATTTGTTTACACCGATTTGAACCTCATCAACAGCATACTTGCGTAAATCAGAGTAAATCGGCTGTTTGAGGACAATCAATACCCACTTGAACATATGCGAGTGAATTTATGGATATTCATGCCAATTACGCAGTCAAGTGCTTGCCTAGACCATCATAAATCCCCCTGCATCGATGAGCTGTGGTGCCCTAGCGATATATATTTATTTATGTTTACGCAGGCAAAATTTACAATTTTCAGCGTTCACTCTTTAATTGGCCGTCTGTCAGTTGTCATGACAATAATTAATGTACTACCAATCGAACGTCCATCTCCGAACATGTGTACCATTGTGGGACATCATAATGCGTGTATCGGCTATCTGAGTGTACATCCATTCTTATGCTATATGTACCCATATATTCCTATGCTATGTGTATCTTGGCATTGAAAAGGCCAAATGGTAATGTAGTTTTCATTTCGACTGGACGAAATAGAATTGGAAATTGACTTTGCTCACGCACGGGGTGACAAGTGAGCCAAGACAAACACATTAGGGTCGAAAAAATCCGAAAATGTTTTTCTTTTCAAATTGCGAACTTGTTGCTCAATTCACATCTATCGCTAAGCAGTTGACCACAAAATGTTGCAATGGAAATCGAGTCAGTTGGTTCTAAAATATTGGAGTCCCAGGTGCCCACACTCACCATATGCATCGATATAGTGCGCCAGTTCTGCTACTAATCCACAAGTATCCATCGGTTCACTGTGTTCTTGAATGGGAGATATTCCAGTTGCCGAAGCACGAATTGGAATTTTGGTAAATATCTTTTCACTTTTGAAACGTAACGGGGATCCAGAGCACAAATCCCTCACTCACACACTCGCGCACTATCTTCGAGATAATAATAATTTTGGGGATGCGATGGTGATGGTGATTCCGTCTCCTTGATTTGGGGAGGGGGACGTGCCACAGACGGCGACTAGACGAGAGTCTAAGCGTCTGTCCGTCGCTCTGTTTTGTTGATGTTAGATTTCGAGTTCTGTTTGTTTCGATTTCCGTTTGTTCTTGCTCTCACCGTCGAATTGCTTTGGGAATATATTCCTTTTTACATTTCGAGCTCTTTGAATTTCTTCACCCGCGATTTGCACTATGCAGCCACTATATAATATCTGTACAAATATGAATATATGCTCTCGATTTGCGTTATTTAAAGAACTATTTCCTCTGCCTTCTTCTTCACTACTTATTTTTCCTATTTTCTGGGGTTCAGCTACAATGCATTTGCACTTTATTTCAATTTTTGCCGTCGAATTGCACTTGTTGTTTTTGTTGTTGATGAGGGGCGGGGATTGGTATTATTTGGGACTTTCTAACAATTTCTCATCAATAGAGGTGTGTGTGTATATAGGCGATTTAAACATGTATATCATTTGGTTGCAACATTTTGGGTTTTTGTTTTGAAACGTTCGGTGTTTTCTGGGGAAACCGTTCTGGTTGGTTTTGTGTTTCGAACTGTGTGTGCTGTGTTTTGTATCTTGTAGTTAGACGAACGCGATCGGGCGAACAACCGTTAACAACAAAGTCCAAAAAAATACTAAATCAATGAGCGAAACGAGCAGAATGTTAAACGCGAAATTCTCCCAGTGGCAAACCAAAACCACCTCCAAGTCGTCGGCGTCGCTCGGTCGATGAGCGAACTCACCACATACTCTCACTCGCACGCACACCAACACGCGGAGAGAGGGTATAAAATGGAATCGGCGCTAAAGTTAAATGTGAAGCGCAGACAGCAGTCACTCACACAGAGATACGGACACACTGAGCGAGCGGCTTGAATGAAAAATGCCGATGCAATCGTGAGATACTCTTTGTTTGCTCTCCAAAACGTATCTGTGTATCCATGAGTACTTATATCTGTGAGTTGTGAGCGAACGTATTTAGGAGTGTATGCGTGAGCAGCCCACATTATACGCGTGTGTAAGTGCCGTCGTCGCTTTCCTTTCTCGCTGCCTTTATTTTCGGTTTCCTACACTTATTTGTTGTGTTTTTTTCGTTGATTTTTTGTCGCTACTTTCGGGTGCACAAGTGCAAATTCACACGTACATTCAAAATGTACGCGCACAGTGGGACAAAAAGCTACGAAACCTGTTGGGAAAAGTATGAATTGGAAATCGTGCAATGTACAAATGCCGTACGCTTTTTGTTTGTTTCTTACTTTTTTTTTTAATTTAATTAGTATGATTAATAGAATGTAAGGAAAGCGAGACGTTTCTTTAAAGCTTTTACAGAGATATTTGAATTCCAGGATCATGTGATTGTTCACATGTTGCTTTCATTTCCAAACCATTGGTTACAATCGCTATGCACCCGAGGTGTTAAGAAAATTAGCTTAGTTGGCTATATTAACACAATCCCATCAATAATACTGAAATTAGAATTTGGTTTTTAATACTTCATACCTCAATAGAGTTAAAGACAATTGTCCGTCATTTTACAAGACGAAAAGTAAAAGCATTACAAATACTCTCAATTTTTAAAGATATCCAAAAATGAATTCCAGATCAACAGTTGATCTTTCATAGCAGAGATCTAATCTTGAAGACAATGCAAACGTTTCACCTGACCAAAAATACATTCCCACGTCTGCTGAATGAGTAATAGACCATGATCGAACCTCACAAAGTTCTCCGTAGGCCTTAACAAATTGGACAGTTTCCAATTCGTTGCAAACGGAAACCAACTTAAGTCGGCTATAATGTAGACACCAGGAATCGAACGAGAATATTGACACTGCTGAGACGTAATTGATGGAAAGGCAAGAAGATCAGCAGGGCAAACAAAACGCCGAGCAAACTAACACAAATCATGCAACAGCCACAGAAGTATCTATGAAGTACATATACATATACACGTTACGCTGCCGTCTGTTGGGCGGCGTATAAATTGCACATTTCGAATACATTGTGGTTAAAAAGTAAGCGCAAAGCGAATCGAGATACTCAGATACAGATACGCACACATCGCTGCAGATAATTGTTCGTACCCCCGATCCCCGCCACCGGGCCCCCACCACCGGTACGTGTTTATTGAACGTGGATGTGTGCGTTGAGTTGACGCTGGGCAAGTTCAAGTGTAGAATGCAATAGAGAATTGCATTGGCCAGAGCGAGAGAGCGGACTCCGACAGAGAGCTGCTTTATCTCTCTCTACGCATACGCATAGAAAAGCCGGCTAAATGCAAGGGCAATAGTGCAGGGGTGTGGGTTTGTGGGGGTGGTGATGGTGATGGTGATGGTGAGCATGTGGTGAGTTTCGCTCTGTTTGGGGTTGGCTAGACACATTGAACCACAAAAGTTCAAGATGAAAACACAAAATATCAACAATGACAGCTGAGTAGTGGGAACGACATGGTTGTGGGGAGGGGTTGCGGGGGTGTATAGTGGTCTCTCTCGCTCTTTGTCTCTCTATTTGTTTGGGTGCGGGAGGGGGACACCAATACAAACACAGCTGCCTTCCATGACTGCGTCTATGATGCCTTTTCTTCTCATTCGCCCCACTCTCCTCATTCTCATTCCTCACCCATTCCTCGCTTTTCTCCACCCCCTCCCTTCTTGGCCGACTGCCAAACGACTCTCAGTTCAGTAGTACACTGGAGCAATTGCTTAGAGTATGGGTGCAACATGTATCTGTGTCTAGCTATATGTATCTGTGTATTTATATGTGTGGGTGAGAGAGTTTGTCTAGCTGCGGGGGTGAGGAAGGGAGCCGACCGAAGTCATGTGCATGCCGTTTGTTGGGGTAGTTCGCCGGCAAGTAAAAGAAATGTAAAAGAGCCGATATATATAGAGCCATATAGTCAAAACTTGCATCAGTCGTCATAAACAGACATCATACATTACAGAAAGAAAAGGGGATTTATCTTCGGATTGATTTCACTATTAGAAAAGAAAGTAATAAATCAATCGTAATATCATAGTTTTAATGATAGTATGATCTCGGTTGTTTTGTAACTATTATTGAGGAACAACACTTTTTAATGTTTTAGTTATCTAAGTTATGGCTTTTCTGTAAGTACATCTCAAAAATGCCTTAAACTGCAACACGGCTTTTAGTTACAGCTTTAAACCTATTGGTTCATTAAAATCATTTAAATTCAAGAACACGTTCTCATAAGATAAGATAAGATAGTTTTCCAACATCCAATTGGAATTAGTTAGCTCTAGGTCGGAACTAGTTCAATCTAATACGTTTTATCCCATGGGATAGCACCTTTATAACCGAAACCTACAGTTGTTGCAGCGCTCAGATACATAATGTATCTGTGCACCTCTCTCCAGCCATCTGGTCTATGTGTGTGTGTATGTGTAAGTATCTCCGGGCAATTGGCGAGCGAGATAGCTGGCTAGAAAAAAGAAACAACAAAGGAGAAAAACTTGTCTACATGCCTGTCGCACAAGCTGCAAAATTTATGCGAAGACACACAAATCCACTGAACGAGAGACCGACAACTCAGTCGATGGTTGTTGTTGCTGCAGTTTTTGTTTGTTGTTGTTGTTGTTGTTGTTGTTGTTGTTGTTGTCGTTGTCGGTGCCTGGTGTTTTTGTTTTCTTGCCCATAGACAGGCTGCACCAATCTGCTCCACAACACCCTGCCCCGCACCAGCAGCTCGAACCTTGTAGATGCATAAAACGCCGACAGTGGCACACAGAGAAAAACATTTTGATTCAATCAAAACCATAACAAAAACTTTTTTATTTTATCTAACCAATGAAATATATTTTATATGTTAGATAGTTTAGAAAACTTTGACGCTTTCCCTAAAAGCCTTATTATTTTAAAACAAAAAACAAACAACAAAAAAATGTATTTAATTTTGTTAATAAATTTATTAAAGTCTAGATTTAAGATAGTTGAATTGTTTTTTACCGTGCTCGGACATAATTTTATTTTATTGAATTTTCTTTGCCAGTCTGGTTTGCCTTGTTTGGCTTGGTTTGCTTCGCCTCGGATCGGATCGGTTCGGTTTGGCTTTTGGTATGATTTTGACTTTGAATCGGGTGCCACAAAGAGACAGAGGGCGGGCCAAGAAAGGAGGCAAAGTCAGGTTTAATGTCGTTCAGTGGCGCGGCGACGTTTTGCAGTTGAGGTAGTCAAAGCCACGAGGCTAAGATGGGGGGTATAGGTATAGCCAGTATTTGGAGGGGGAGGAACGGGCGGACGTTCGGTTGGGCGACTGACGACGACATCAAAAATGGGCTGAGGCCGCTCGTGGGCAAAAAGGAACACAGGGCACAAGACACCGCGCGACTGTGGGCAAATAGTTAAACATTGGTGGTTGTTTACCGATAAGCGTCTATGAATGGGTAATGTGGAGTAGTCGGTGGACCGAAGGAGAGGCAGCGCCATAGTTGTCCGGCCGGAGCGGACTGTATGTACTGCTATATAGGTACATGGCGCTATCGCAAATGGGTGGTGAGAAGGTCGTGTCCAGGCACAGTGGTTTAATTCTAACTGATGCTTTTCTTATAAAATAAGTTCTTTACATTTCGCCGAAAATTGTATTTTCTCCATTAAAAAAATACCCTTTTCCAAGAAAAAAATATAATAAAATTTTAAATAGTTGTCATAAAAACAAAACTCTACCGCCTTTAAATAAATATATATATATAAATATATATATATACATATATATCTATATGATTATTTTAAAATACTTAATAATAGTAGGATTTATAAACATTATAGTTTATTTGGTGATCGTTGTTATTTTTTTTATTATTCGAAAGATATCTTTATTATAAGTTTATTTATTGAATCCCGAAAATATAGTTTTATATCTTTATTTTTGCCATTGAAATGTACCTATCCCACACAACATTATCTGTATTGTCATAAGCATATCTTCAAGTAGTTTTCTGAGTACAATGTCCCTAATGCATTTCTCTTATCAATTTAATTTTTTTTGGTCTCCATCCGGAGGGTCCCCTCAATTGACCGACAGTTTGTTTCTTTTATACTTTGAATTTTTTTATGAGCTTGCATTAGGTTCACTTTAATAAATTGTGACTTCTGTCTGTCTTTTGAATGATATTTTTATTTCTGCATATTGACATTTCAATTGGTTTTTATCAGCGCAATTTATTTTTACGAATTTCTTTATGATACTGGTCTCTTGGAAAAAAAAGGAGGTTTGCTTGTTAAAAACATAATATGAAATTAATATGTAAACATTTTTATTATATCCCTTTCGTAAGTTAAAGGCTGCTCTTCTATTTTTTAAAGATATTACTTTATGAAACCTAAAAACAAATTCGACTTTAAAAACTAAATAAATTTTTTGCCGCATTCGCCCAATCAAGAATTTTTTTGTTTCGTTAACGATTCAAATGCTGGTCGAATCAAAGGCGAAATTTCTAAATCTTAGGAATTTATTTCTATGAGTGTATATTTACCCAATTGAGAACCAACACAGAAATAGGAGCAGAAACTTACCTGAAAAGAAAAAAACAGTGAGAAATTTGTTAATTAGCGTTTGATGAAAATATATCACATTTTGTATTTAATGATTTACAATTCAACCTAACGAAGGCCATTTCTGATTTCCAGATTTCATTAACCGACTCTATTCATTGACAAAAAATTAGCAACAATTCTCAACTTAACTTTCCGCTTAACACATATTCAACAACGTAACTGTCTTTTGTTTTTGCCTTATTTTTGTCGTCATATTTTTTTCACATTTTTGTTTGGGTGCGGAAAAACCTTGACTGAGTTAAGCGTTTCACGCTTGCCAAGCGTGCAATTTCCCTAACTCAGACAGCGTCTGACTAATTTGCATTTTTGAAATGCAGGAAGACTGTGGGGAGTTGAAGTCACTTTTGAGAGGTATTGAGGACTGGATTGAGGTATTATCCAGGCTGCAGGCTTCAGTTCAGTCAATCTAACTCTGAGCAGAGCACATAAATCTTTATTATTCGCCCGCGCAAGCGTCGGGGACGTAAGGCAAATTGAATTTGAAAATTGTGAACCGACACTTGACGGGCTGTCTACAAAAATAAAAAGTTAAATTAAATATATACATAATGCGAAAAACGTCAGAGGATGATGGAGGGGGAAGGGGGCTGTCTGCATCTCAAAAATATTAATTCCACAATTTGATTTGATTATTCAAATCGAGCTTCAGACGACCAAATTGTTTGCAGCTATAGACTTCTGTTCATGTGACAAAGTCAAGAAAAATTAACAAGTTTAATTAAAATTTAAAATTTTGACCACCGAATTTATGTCTTCAAAATACTTAATTTGATCATATCGCAAGCTTACATATTATCTTTCGAAATACCTAAGTATTTTACCAAATTGCTTTTAAATTAAGTGCTGTAGATTACATTAGCAGAACGCACTGTTGGTTCGTAATTAATGTTGCATGCCAATATTATAATATTTTGTTATTTATGTTGTCGTGCGTGACATTATTTCATTCAAAGTGACAATTCGAGGCGTTGCTGGCATTCGAATACCCACAAATGAGTTCCTAATCCTCCAGGGTGCCAACGATTCTGATCGTAATGCCCACTGACAGCCAGTCCCCTAGATTGCATACTAAGCAGAGGACCAGCGTCTGTGATGGGCGTGCCCTTGTGCCGCCAGTTATCGATAGCGATTTCCTGCACAGTTAAATAGAAACGCAATACGGCCAAAACAAAAATTCATCAGCATTCAGAGGGTGAGGGCTGGGGGCTGAGGGCTGGGCAAACTGGGGAAACTGAGCACTTGTTGCCGCCGCAAATTCCAACTTATTTTAGTTGTCTTACTGGCTTAGCTGTTATTGGAGGAGAGGAGGAGCGTGGTGTACGTACAACACGCGCTGCTATTTTTTTCCGGGGGTTGGGCATCTACTGATGCTCCAGTAAGCAGCTGACACTGCGTTGGCCGGTGAAAAGCTTCTGGTTACAGAAATAGCCACGCACTTGCCACAACACAGTCTGCGTTTTACTCAATTGGAGCCCCTATGCACCCACCGACCCACAGGCCAACCATCGAACTAAAGCAAACTTGTGTAAATTATTTTTAAATTGCACATATTTAATCAAGTGTGAAGTCTGCTGCGTTGCTGTCGCACCACTTTGTATGCATGTCAAACAATTAATTAGTGCACAATCCACTCACTGTTTGGTTTTTCGTTAATTTTGTTTTCTTATTCCAAAGTTGATTTGCCTTGAACTTGAATTCTTTTGGGGGTGGTTTGCTAAGTATGTATATTAGTTCTTTGCTAAGATTGAATTTTAAAACTTCAGCTATAAGTTAAAAAAAATTACCAAAACATTGCATTTAAATTTTTGTGCTTATTAACCAAATAGACATTTTACTCTTCGTTTTTGCATCAGCATCAATGAACAATAAACGCGATTTATTTCAAATTCCAGCGATCTGTCACCAGCAACTAATTTAGGCAGCCATATGTCGCATTTGCACTCTTGAAATGCATACACACATTCACAAGTAGGTATTTTATGTGAATAATCGCTCGCCCACCGAAAGTTCATTGTACGAGCCACGACGCAGTTGCTGCGGTTCTTACTCATTTTGGTTTCTGGCTTAGCGCCGAGTTTTACCTAATTAAGTCAACAAAGTGGAAACCCCCAGACAGACACACGCACATTCACGTTGCCGACAATATAATTAATACCTTTGAAAATGAAAAATAAAAAGCTTGGAGTGAGAAAGGTCGCACAGAAATATCCTTGCTAATTTTTTTTGTTTAGCGAGTTTCCAACATACTGACAAATTAAAATTGGTTTAAGAATACAAACAGTCTGGTAAATAAGTACTTAAAATAAAAAAAAAATTGAGTGTAAAGTATATTTTGTAGGTTTTGTTATCACAATTATATTTTTTATACTTAATGTTCGAAATTTTATTATCCGAACAGAAAAAACTTTTGACGAAAGTCGATATACCTTCTCTTTTAGAGCATCTAAACCAACCGTTACCGTCCCTCTATTAAAAGTAGAAAATCGAATCAAATACAATTAACTAGCCACCTATAACATAACAAAATTAAATCTAATTTTATAGATAAACAAATTAACAAAATTATACCAACATTTTAAAAGAACTCTGAAGGGATCATTGTCTGTGTGGACGAGAAATATTTTAAATAATGACGAAGTCAATTTGCCAATGAATTAAAATAAATAATTATGGGATGAACTTATAATTAAATATAAAATTCGTTTTTTAAACCAACCTTAATTTTGTTACAAGCAAAACAACACCACCCCAAATCTAAATTTCTGTTTACGATATTGATTTTGAAAATTCTTGAAATATATACGATACGTGCTTGTTGACCTTTCCCTGCAAATATAAATTATTCGATTCGAGCAGGCTTCGAGAACAGTTTCATGGGAAGACTTCGACTTTTTAAAATTCATACGTGATTTCACCATCATTATCACAAGTAAACTCAACATAAACACGAGAATTTCTAAGTATGGATAACTTAACATTAGGGGGACTGCTCGAATACGAGAGCGGCAAAGACGAGAGCTGCAGCGGTAGAAATTCCTTTGACCTGTACGTGAACTTCCTGTGGATCTTCGTCGGCATTTACGTTCTGTCCCAGCTGAACAAACTGTCTGAGCGCCTCATTGGCCAGCGGCTACTCGGCTTGAAGCAATGGTGCGATGTCCGCTCAATCAAAAACGAATGGGAGCTGACCCTGCAGCTTTACGAGAAGGACAAACGCCAGCTGGACGCACAGGTGCGGGAGCTGCGCCAAAAGAACCTCAATATGGAGCGCGTTATAAACGATTTGCGCGACTGCAACATACACCTGATCAGTGAGAACTTTATGCGATCCGTGATGCAGGAACAGGTTAACACAAAGAAAAAGGGCTTTATGAGCTAAGAATCAATTGATTTTATTCCCAGAAATATCTCCTTTTTAACATTTTAAACGAATATGCAAAACTTTATTTATTGTATATATTAAGACGCAAACGATACCTTTAATGATATTAATCCTACATTTAAAAAATTATAGCAAATTATGTGGAATAGATCAAATTGACCTCGAGACAAGCCCAATTTATATATAATCAAATGTTTTTTTTACGCAGAAGCCGAGGCCAGCCCAGTCCAACATCTACATCACCAACAGCCACTTCCACCTCACACGACAGGTGTTCGTGAACAAGAGTCTCGATGTGCATAATGCCGGCAGAACGGATCTCGACTCCATGGACTCGATGGCGACCGGAGAGGGACTGAATGTCTGGCTGCAGTACCTAAAGATGCGAAAGTACTATGTGGGCCCGATTGCCGATCCAAATTTGATAGCTCCCAGCAGCCCCGAGCATATGCAACCCATTGTTATGACAACTGAGCAGTTGGCCAGGTTGCAGGGTAAGAAGTTATGATACATTTGTTAGTTGGCAAACATTCAAATTCTTTGATTTCTTTTCAGGCATGATCTAGTTGATTTAACTTTAAACGCGAATAGCAATTGTTGTTGTTATATTAATCAAAATACAAAAAAACACCATAAAAATATATATTTAAATTTATTTGGTCATGAAAACATTTCAATGAAGTTTAAGTAATGGGATTATTTCTAAATGTAGGATAAAGTTATTGCGGGCTTTTTAATTATTGTAGCAAGAGAGAAATACTTGAGAACTAATAATAATCAATTTTATATATCTTAGTATCGTAGTAGAAACCATAGTCAATTTTGTTGTAGATTTTCATAACATAATCTATAAAATTTCTAAAAATATAAAACTTGAATATCTTTTTGACGCATTTTAAACGGAAATGTCAACTACTTCAGTCAGTTGATTTATTTTCTTTGCATTTCAAATTCAATTTCCGTTAAGTGCTGCGGAACAAGCCAAATCGTTTTTATTTGCCTAACCACCTAACACCCAGCGCTCCTTCTTTCGCAGTCTTCGTGTCAACATCTGGCGGAAACGAAATAAAATAAATGCAAAATATGCCAGTTTGCCAGTTTGCCAGTCAGTCGGTCGTCTGTTTGTTCCAACTGGAACTGCTAAGACGATGACTTATCAAGGCAGAATTAAGCGATTGCTTTCTTCAGCTCTCTTCCCACATTCTACCGCTCTGCCGGCACTCTCCATTTTATTTTCTTTGCCATGGGGTCAGTGGCAGTTATCGTTGCAATTTTGTAATCAGTTGCCGGCTCAAGGTTAAATGCTCGCGGGCACAGTGGGACAAAGTCTGTGGGTGCGGGGTCCTTTCCACCTCACATGTTTTGTCTTTCCCCCCGATTTCTGAATTTTTGTTTACCCATATCGAGAATCGCCATATTTGATTTACATTTGTTCGAGTGTACCACCGTTGTGGTTTTTTTTTTTCGCTTAGCGGCTACTTTGTGGGTCATTTGCCTGTCTGGCGGCTCATGAGTATACATATGCATGTGCACTCGTATTGGGTTTTTTCGTTTTTTATTTGCGATTGTCACTTTGTTGATTTAGATTTATGGCCATTTAAATGCAATTTCATTGTATTTTCTGGATCAGTATTGTGTACTGAATTGGGTCTTCTCCCTCCATCCCTCTGCATCCACATTTTCTGTTTTTACTGTCTGCTTTGACAATGATGACGCTGATGAAGCCTAAATCGATTAGCGGCGATTGCTGTATATGGAATTGAACTGATGAAGTCAGTGAACTAATACAATAATGTTGCCTTCGCTAGTATACGTTTCTTATCTCGTTTCAAGCAAATTATAACGAATTTTATATGTCACTTTACATATTTCAAAATCACATAAATTTAAATTGAAAAGAGAAATATTTACACAAGTGCCTTACAAACTAAAACAATATACAAACGGAATTATAACAACTTTAACTGTGTTTCTTAGAGTTTATAATTATTTTAATTTAGTTAATTACGTTTTTATAAAAGATTTATTATTTTGAAACTAGGTTATATCATAACCATTTTAAAAAAGCTTTTTAAGTTCTGTGTATTTCACATACTGCATTTTATTCCTGTTTCTATTTATATATTGGTAAAATAAGTTTTCAACTGAAAATACCTATAGAAATTTTAGGCTTTAATCCTACTTTTAGCTTACTAAGAAGACAAGAAAACAGCCCTAAGTAGGACAAGGTCTCGTAACCATATCGTAACCAACCAACGTCATTGGAGCACCCGCATCTTGTAATGCTGGCCAACTTTACCTAAACATTTTAATTGTTTAACGCGTGCTATCAATTCGAGCCAAGTCGGCGGACAGGCCACGCCCATAAAAACCTGGTGCAACATGAATGACGCATTACCCGGTGAATATTTGAATGGCTAGCTTCTTATGCCAGACCAACTACGCAAATGGGAGTCGTAAGACGGCAAGTCGCTTATTATAGTTTGTTATTTATAGATCATTCACAATGCGTGGTACTTTACACTTGACCAGCATCGCCTGACATTTGCATAGCTAATTTGTTTACCGCTTAGGCGAAGAATTAGAGTCCGCCAACCGCAAATAATTTCGCACACTAACCCACAACTTGGGCGTGGAGCAGTGAGGGAGCGTCGGAATAATCTAATCGTTAATTGGCACACTAACCCCAAATAGAAATTGCTCTGCCATTGGCCCCATTCCACTCTCACTGATAAAAATAGTTTACGTTTTATCAAGGTTATTTTGCCAAAAAATAGCAAATAGAAAAAAACCAAACAAAAGCGAAAACGAAAGTGGGAGCCAAAGCAAAAACGAGTGCGAGGGTGTGTGAATAGATAGTCAGCGCCGAATACAATTGGGAACGACCTTGAGATAATGCCCTCATTTATGCATTTGATATTTGTTTATTTACCGTCAAACAGTTGGTGAAATTGGAATTTGAAAAAATTCTCCGCATGCTGAGCAATACACTTAAAGATAATAGCTTTTTTATAAGTAAAATTGTTTAAAAAACACTTGAGAGGTGAACAAATGATCACCTAATAATAAACTATAAAACCATTCACTTTGTTTTGGATACACTTGATTAAGAATTGTGCTTGTTGAACAACTAATTCCCTTTTTTTTGCAAAATAAGAAATACTACAGCTAATTTAGGAAATTTACAAAGCCATTTTTTGAAGGTTAAACAATAATTAATATAAATCAAAATTCCTTATACAAAATATTCATCAAATCTTTACAGCGTCACGTTTCTGGCACAAACCCGTTTTAGGTTTTGAATCAATCTCCAAGATCTCAAAAAAAAACTTGAACAAATAAATCAAGCACAATCAAAATGTGTAAAAAAAGGTTAAATTAATACAACCAACAAAATTTAATTTTGAGCAAAACTGAGTTCGACTACACTAAAATAAAAAAATGTATTAAAAAATAAAGGAATAAAAATCACTATTAAACTTATTATTTATCCATATCCGAAAATAATTACACTTTGTTTCAATAAAATATATTTTTTAATACAACTTAAGATATAAATTAATTTTAAAACATAAAAAAAATTTTGTGTATTTATTTCTTAATTACGAAAACTCTCTTTACTCAAAAGTTACCACGACACTGCAAATATATATTGCTTGCGTAAATAAATTGTAAAGAATCAACACGTAAATTACAATAAACATTTTTTAAATTTTACGAATAATCTACGGGTTAAAAACGAGCCAAACGAATCTTTCCAATCAAAAGTTCAAAATATATAACAGTATTGATAGGTCAGTGTGCTGAGGTTTTTAGAAGATCATTGACACCTTGCCGATCGTTTAAAAAGTCACCTCAAGATTAGATCAGATTAGGTACCTGGCTTCACAAATCTGTCAAGAACTGGGCCAGCGATCCCCGACGGGGACCCTAACGAAATGTTTATTTACCCAAAAATTAGGGTCAGGGCTAGAGACGTCGCTATCAAGTGTCGTCTACGTTTTGTTCTCTGGTTGCAAACGTGTATCTGTGTCATGCGAAAGCGAAAAGATACACACACACACACACAGGCGCACACGGACAGTATCAGACGGGAGGGGAGGCAGCTAGGGGGCCAGTAAGTGTTCATGACTCCCATTCTAATTTCATTTAAATGCTCCGGACATTCAGACGTGCTGCCATCTCGCTCTTGGCCCTCGCCCTTTACTCCTCCGCCCCGGTAAACCAGACGAAAATTTCTATATACAAAATTGCAGCCGACGTCGGCCATTTTGTTTTTACTTTTATTTCGTCTGTTTTTTTTTTTTTTTTTTTTGGCAAAATTTCATGTTGCCTTTGTATTGCCGAATCGTTGTTTGTGGCTGATGTGACTGTGTCTGCCCTGCGCCTGCCACTGCCCCCTCTCCCACCCACTGTACGTGAGTGTTGGATACAGCGGTGACACGCCCCGCATGGCCCCCCACTCACACACGCCTTCATCATAATCATCGTCATTGTGTCTTGTTTTGTGAAGCGCAAAAACGTGTTGCCATCGTTTTATTTTTATTTTTCACTTTCTGTTGATATATTTTACGAACTTTTTTATTTGTTGCTATTGTTGGATAAATATTTGCAATTCTCTCGGTTTGCCTGTCTATGCCAGTACATTTTTGGGTTTTATTATTCTTTGCTGCTGTGCATTTGCAAAAAATACAAGACAAATATTTGAATTTAAGTGCCACTCAAATATACAGCATTTTTATAATCGTACCGCTTTATATTAATAAAAATTTCAGCCTTTGGTCTATAATAAATTAAGAATATTTTTTGTACCAAGTGGGGATCGCGTGCAAGAAGAGGGTATTTTAAAGACCGGTTTCCCTTATCAACGAATAGAAATAACAAAGCAAACGTAGAAAAGCTAAAGAATTTTCTAAGCAAACAGCAACTTAAAACGTCTCAAAAGCCGATTGGTTGCCAACCGGTCCTGTGGCGCAATGGATAACGCGTCTGACTACGGATCAGAAGATTCCAGGTTCGACTCCTGGCAGGATCGCAGACATTTTTTTTATTTTTTTTTAATTTATAATATTAAAATTCTAAAGAATTTTTAATTAATAAAACAGTAAAAAAATGTGGTTAATTAAAAAATATTAAATTCTTCCCAAATCAAAATTGAGGTCGTCTTAAAACTGCAATATAAATTGTAATTAATAAAACAAAAATAATATGAGGAAACAAAGTAACAAAAAGTTTAATTTCGCCCAACGTGGGGCTCGAACCCACGACCCTGAGATTAAGAGTCTCATGCTCTACCGACTGAGCTAGCCGGGCACTTGACTCGATTGCCGACAATAAGGCCCAGAAGCTTGTACAATTTGGCTAAGCAGCCACAAGACAGAAATAAGATAAATATATAAAGCTGCTAGATAAATACACGTATTTCGAGCATCTCCCACATGGCCAAAATGAGCTCACATTGCGTATGCGCATTCTAGTTCTTTAGCGAGAGTGATTCAGGTCAAACTAATTATCTTGACCGAGCAAATTGAATCAACTACTTTGATGACTTGTCCATGGCAAAGATAATCAGAATGAATGTGATCAGTGTATGTATTATTGCATTGCCCGACGCTATTACACGATAATTTGCGGACTCTTTTTTGCTTAATCA